GGTTCAAGATTTTCACCACTTCACAGTCTTACCGCTGCTCTATTTGTACCCTCCGACGATAAAATTGTATATTTACATGTTTTTAAATTTTTCCAAATTATATTTTCAGGAGCATTTAAGCCGGGATGATTTTTCCTTTTTATTCTCCCTCAAGGTAAGTCACGGCACTTAAACAGTCATACGCTGATACGCATCATCATCATCATCATAATCACTATCTGCATTTGATCAGGTGGGGGACAATGCTACCCTCTATGGTGTTTGCTTACAAGTGCGGGAAATTGTTCAAAGGCCACCTGCTATCTATGGAAACTCGTCGCCTCTTTGCCTCTCGCCCGGAGGTAGCAGTCGGTTTTTGGTTTCAGCACCGCGCTGCTACTGTGTACTAACAAGAGTTCCTTTCTTTGAGTTACACTATGAGATGTTGAACTGGTCAGTTTTAAAGGACACACATTATATTTGTTGCTCAACATATATATGGTCTTCAATTAGCCGTAGGGATAAGGTCTGCTTATACCGCATAAATTAAGAGGTTCATTCAGTCATAATTTCACAGGGCACACACCTCTAAGAACCCCACCCTGTGAATAAATTAAAGATTAGGTCTTGTTCGATACCAAACCCGTCCCAAATGATTGTCATGCACTTATTAAGGGGTTAATTCATTTATTTTCCGTTGTTTCTTGACACTCTACAACATTCCATAATACACATTTGTACTTGGATGCAGTCTCATTGCACAGGAGCGCCTTAACAGGATAACCCAAGTCATTAGCAGAAGAACTACTCTCTCTGACTTTGTCCCTTATTCAGTCACGTCCAAGTTAAAAGAAAATGATAGGGATCCTGAAGACTCTGGTTGGATGGAGTCTGCCATACCTGTTGACAGTGCAATTTCTCTAACTGCAGCAGCAGCCGGGATTATATGTGATCATGAGGTCCCATCATGTTCATCAAGGGGTGTAGTCTCTTCTCCTGGAAGTATGGTTGCCAGTGATTCATCAGATCATTCTCCAGTGAAACAATGGGATATGAATGATGGAAAAAAGCTTCACTGCTTTGACGACTGTGCATCTGAGGCATCAGAAAGGAATAATGATAGTTCTCAAGATAATGCTCGCTCCCTAGAAGGGGAACCCTCTAATTTATGCTTGGGGGAATGTGCATTGGATCGTCCTAACACTTCTGATACTTTATTCAGGTTGATCATCCCTTTTAACATTTTTCCCTATTTATGTTCGTTTTTTATTTGATTCTTTTGTCATATTATTATTTTCTTTACTTTCAAGTAGGGGAAAGGTCTGTGTATACTCTTTTCCGAGACCATACATTTTGTGAGATTCAACTGGGTTTGTTGTTGTTGTTGTTTGCATTAGGCAAACAGAAAAAAACTACTTACCTACATAGGGTAATGGATGTTTTCTATTCATACACTTCATATCATAAATGTGTCCTAAAATATGAGTTTTCCCCCATAATTTAGTTTATATACCTGCCATAGAGCTCCTACTAAAGTTATACCTAACATGGTTAAATTCTCTACCAAGTGCCAACTCATGCCTTTCTGTGGTATTGAAATAGAACCGGTTTGTGAAATCATCTTTTGGTCTCATATTAAACGTCAGTGTTTGACTTTACGAAGTTCAAGAAAAGTGATGAAAAGTGAGTATTGCGTCATTTGCAATACTTTAACAGGAAAGTTGTTTAGAGGAGAGAAAGATTGTGAGGCATGTGTTTCATTCTTTAATAGGAAATGAGAGAAGTGTGAGGTTTATTTTGGGACATCCAAAAGAAGAAAGGTTGAAGTGTATATCGGGATGGGGTCTGAGTCTAGCATTTAGTGTGAGGCTAAGAACTAATCTTGAGGTTCCTTTAGGGGTGAGATACACATAATTTAACAATCTTCAAGGGATTATCTATCATTTAATCAATTTGCAGTACAGTGAGAGCTATTTTATCAGAGGATGAGGATGATGAGTTATGCCATGGCCATGATAAAGATGCTGCAGATTTTATATTGGAATGGGCAAAGGTGAGGAGAAATTTCCTGCAGAAAAAGTGTATGTTCCAGGTTTGACATGGTTGAGCTTGACTTCCCTTCATCTGTTGTTCCTTGTTTGGCAGGAGAATAAGAATGAATTGTTGCAGATAGTTTGCAGCTATCATTCCTTACCTCTTCCATCATGGGGATGTAATACCATTTTTCATCCACTCGAGCATCTTCCACCAATCAAATTTAAGAGATCTTCAAAATCTGATCTTGGAGTAAGCGATGAGGATTTAGCTGTTGAAATGCAGGATCTAGATGCGATTGCTAAGGTATGACCCAAAATCTGATCTTGGAATAATCACTACTTTCTAGAAGGGGTAAGGTCACCTTCCCCAGACTCTACTTCTTGTAGGATTCTACTAGGCCTATAATAGTTATTGTCTTCATATTTTTGAATTTGTAAATAGAACTTCAGAAACGAGAGCTCATTTTACAATATTATGTTAAGGTCAATTTTGATTTAGCTGCTGCTGAGGAAGCTGCTGCACTATCGGTGTGGACAACTGCTGCAACTTGCCGCGCTCTTTCCCTTGAAACTGTGAGTTTTCGTTTGAAAACTGAAAATGCTACGGCTAAGAATTTTACTTAAATTTCATTGTGTATTTGTTATAGGGCTAAGAATAAGAATTATGTGATCAAATAATATTTAAATCATCCTTCATTCATCATCAAGACATAGATTGAGCTCTCCAAAGTCCAAAGTCTTCCTCTTGAAAAACCTTATCCAAAACACCCTTAGAATGAAAATGCAGGAACTTGATTATTTTTTTTTGCTCCATCTTTTGTAGATTCTGACCATGATAACAGGTGCCCTACTGGAAAAACAAGTGGTTCTCATATGCCCCAATTTGGTAATTTTTTATCATTTAGAGCTCGATGCCTTTTTTTCAACTTCATGAACTTTTAGTGTGCCTCCGTTATCTCTTACCTCTTTTGCCATCACTTCTCAAAAACTACAGGGTGTTCTTTCAGCTCTCGTGTTATCTTTAATTCCTATTATTCGTCCCTTTCAGTGGCAGAGTTTATTTCTTCCAGTAAGTTCTCCCACACCTAATGCGTTTATGCCACGGCTTGAATGCCTGAACTGTAGCATACGTGCATTATCATATTTATATTATACTCGTAGGTCCTTTTTGGCGACCAGCTATACTAAAAGGCTTGAAAACAAGGTTTTTTGTAAACTAAGCTTGAAAGACAGCGCTCCAAATAACTCTAAACAGCTGCTCCAAAAAGCTTGAAAAGCAAATTTTTTTGTAATACCAACTTTTTGGGATGAAAAAGCTATTTACCAAACACTTTGGCTGTGTTTGGAAATCATGCCTTCCCGTTCTGGATAATTTTTTAATGTTACAGATTAACTTGAAAACGCTAAAGCTAAACGCTGTCATTAGACAACTTTTTCAAATCGCTGAAGCTCACATATATTAGCTGTCATTTGGTCCGAAAAATATCCTTTCCAAACACCTACATAGCGTATCCTTTCAAATGAAACCCAAATCCTTTTGTCATCCTCAAATTCACTAATCATATGCTACTCCTGTTGTAGTCGTACTTTTAGCTATGAATCTTGCTTTTTTTTAGTATGATGTGTGCCAAATCATTCTCTGTTAATGCATTCTAACAGATTTTGCCATTGAAGATGCTTGATTTACTAGACGCTCCTGTTCCTTTCATTGTAAGTTTAATATTATTTTGTTTCAAGATGTAATCTGCTGCTATAGTTGAAGTGTTTTGTTTAGTATTACGGTTAACTCAACCATGTCAACCACAATTTTAGCAAGTTCAATCATTTCAGCCAGATCTTACGGTTTTACCCTTACAAATCACGCTCCAAATATGTGGACAAAGGAAATGGCAATGTTGCTGCTTTTTAGTGATTGATTATTGATTGTGATTTTTTTTCAGGTTGGCTTGCAACAGAAACCAGCCGACTTGAGGAAGAAGATATCTAACCTTATTTATGTGAACATAGCAAAAGATCAGGTTGGTTTAGCTTTTTAGAAATTAAAGGATTTTACTGGGTCTGTCGTTGTTCACATAACACGAGTTGTTGGTGAGTTGTGACCTTCAATTTTTTTTGTTTAGGAAAAATGTCTTGTGGTATACTCGTTATGCCTTTTTTTGTGTAATTTTCAATTTGGGATGTCAGGTAAAACCATGTTACTTGCCTTCACTTCCTCGGTATAAGGAGCTTGTTTCAGAACTGCAGCCAATCCATGCCAGATTGGAACATGATAATTCTGCTGCTCAAGGGCATCCGACCTATAGGTGCAACGACGTACAGGTTCTCAACATTGATTCTTGGAAAAAGACTAAAATAAGAGTAAAACTTAGAGAAAGAACCAAAACAGGACCTTCATGTTTTTATCCCCAAAATAGGACTTATAATGCCAATAATGTCAACATATAATTCCAAAAGAACACTGGAGTGTCAATATACAGTATCACATTGTTACAGTGCAAATTCCTATTTTGGGAATAAAAACACGTCACTTCTATTTTGGAGATAAGGGTTATGTTTTACTGGTATTGTGGTGATTTCTTAATGATTCTTCACTATGCCGACATTTTAATGCTTTAAGATTTATTATCTACTCACTTGACCACCTGTGTTCGTAAACCTTAACGGCCATTTCTGAAACAGAGGGATTAATTGTTTAATATTAAAATGTCTTGTTACAGGCTGAGGCTGCTACTCAATTTTTGACAGTAATGAGGCATTACTTGGAATCCCTCTGTTCAAATTTGAGGACTCACACAATCACTAGTGTTCAATCAAACAATGACAGGGTCTGTCAACCTCTGCAGTTCACTGAATTTCCTTCTGCCCCTCTAATTTATGTGAAATTAATCTTTCACCACTGTTTCATTATAGGTCTCACTACTGATGAAGGATAGTTATATTGCTTCTTTTCCCACTAGGGATCAATCTTTCATCAAGGTAAAGTAAAGCACTTCATATAAAATTTCCACCAGTTAGAGGATAACAGTTCCTTTGCTAATCACTAAACAGAACTCTTTTTGTTTGTTTTTTTTATCTTGAAGTGGTTCCTAGTTCCTACAAAGTCACCCCCTTGAGAGGGGGAGGGGGGGGGGGGGG